GAGCCCAAGTAACTACTCCAAGAAGTTAAAGCAGAGAAACTCAGAATTGCACCCCAAAATTTCCTGTTTCCCTTTCCAGTCTCTTTTACTCACAGTCTCTTTTACTACAAATCAGGTTGGTTATACTTGGGAAAGAGGATGGCCACCTATCGGGACATAAGATCTAGCCGGAACTCTATTTAGAAGGATAGTCTCATGAACAAAGACAAGATTGCTCTGTCCCAAGTGCACTGCTCCCACAGCGGCTGTCTTCACCTCCAGGCCACTGGAAGAAGGTCAGACCCACCAGGCGCAATAACTTGAGCACAAAGTTCAAGCTCATAGTGTCCAAGGGGAAGTTTTAATTCTGCAAAAAGGTCAGTTTACAAATTACAGGAATCTGATCATCACCTGCAGAAAGGAGAATTCGCACAGACACTAAAACTCATGGCTTCTTGCTAGTGGACATAGTAAACCCAAACTTCCTTCCCCTTTAAATATGAAGACAAGAAGAAGCATTTCTTTCTCAGGAGGAAGAGTTACAACTTTGCAATTATAGCAGGAGAGCTTATCTCACAAGTAACGATTACGATTCTAATACCTTCGACGTCCAGAGCTCTCACAGCCAGCTCCAGGGAAGAATCATCCACGCAGAGTTCTCGAGTTCAGGAGAGAATTTCAGTACTGTCTATCATATCAGCAATGACATCCCAAGGGAGTAAATGGCCTCTCACTACAACAAGAGACCAAGTAATCATAGAACAACAAGCTCCTACTGGCTTCAAAACTTGTGAAAAGCTAGTACTACTGAAAATAATAAAGAACAAATGATGGCTTCCTGTCCTACAGAGCCTGAATAATATGCTATCACAAACCATAGGTTTTTCAACAGAATAATTAAATTGTTCTTCTTTCTAAAAATTTACATCTCTGTGTATAGCCCTCTGCTCTACGAATTTTTACTTTTCTACCTACCACATTCCTCAGCTGTCACAACACTGCTTAGCTTTCTGCCTTGTGAAGACTGAGCAGACGCCAAAGCTTTTTGGGAACAAATGGCACCGTTCCCATCAACGGGCTCGACAGTGACTATATCGTGACATGAGGAAGGCCTGAAAGACAGGAGGATGCTTTTCCCCCCTCCACTCACAGGTGGGGCTTAAAAACAAGAAGTGGCAGAGTGCTAAAATAAATGCAGGTTTATATTGTCATTAAAACACTCCCTTTTTTAGTATTTATTCCTGTAGTAACCTGCTTTAACGCATTCATCTCAGTGCTGGGTAGAGGTCGCTCACGACAGCTCACGTATCGAGATCCAAAGTTGCACAGGCCAAGAGCTGATGGTCCCTCTTCTCCAAGTCTTGATGTTGACGCCGGCCGACCGTAAGAGCCCAGAAAGCAAACCAGCCCTGCCCTGCCCACGCAAACCGGCATCCCACGGCTCAGCACGAGCAGATGGGATCCCCTCGACCACCCCGTCAGATCACAGAGGCCCCTCGGACTCCGGTGCTTTTAAACGAGGCGAGAGCCTTCTGTCTCGCAGCCACAGGGCACGGCCATGCCCGCCACCCCACGGGAAGACCCTGAGCTCAGGGGTTTGGGTTTTTTCCAGGACAGCCCCTTGTGCTCTCCAAACCTTTCCCTAGCCCAGGAAAACAAGCCACTGATCCCTCCTCCCAACAGCCTTCCTTGGCCCCTTCATTCTCCAGCCCTGTTACCAGAGGGTCCCTCAACACCCCCCACAGCCTTTTTTTCTCCCCTCAACGCTACTCCCTTTTTCACCAGGAGCAACAGCCATACCGCTGCCCGCTCACCAGCAGTAACAGCCCCCCTCACCCCCTAGCTCAAAGGGAACCGGGAGCTCCCGGCTGAAGGGCAGCAACGCTTTGGGGCACATTTAGCTTTAAGGCGAAGACAGGCACCACCGAGAACAGCAGGAGGAGGAGGAAGAGGAGGAGGAAGGGGAGAGCAGCCAGCCAAGCCCGCCTCATGCCGCCAGGCTGGAGCCGCAATGGCGCTGCCGGCAGAGGCGCCTT